CACTTGTATTTTAAGCCCAGTAAGACCCATTTTAGTTTCCCGACTTAACAAAATAAATTTGTGTTGTTTTAAACCATAAATTTACGGAAATTTGTAACAGCAACAAGGGGAAACCAATATGATTGGCATAGAACAAAAACAGCTGGAGACCTAGAGAAAAATGTCAATAGATGTAAAAGGTCAATTTAGATTAAAAAAAATTCTGTTGGCCAAAGCTGGAGAGAAATTTAAAATACTAGTCCCTAAAAGAAGAGAGTTAATGTCTTCACTTAAAATCCTTTAAACACAGAGCCTGAGACAAGACCTTGAGTGCTTATGTACACAGTGACATCAGGGAGTAGACGTGAGAGAACAGTGGAAAGTGAATGTGGAAAGGAAGAGGAAACAAACATCAAAGTCATTGCTGAAGGCCACAGTAGGCACTGGGACCTCTGAAAAACACACAACATGCTGTCCGAAATTAACCAGCCAAGGCAGGGACTCTGGAGCATTGCCCCACTGCTTCCCAGCTCCTACTAGGTAAGGATTAACTCCTCCCAGCCAAGAAGGCTGGGAGGCTTTGGAGAATTCCCTAAAACAGAAGGTAAAGAGACATAATATGCAGGTCAGAGAATCTGACCTTGTAAAGACCTCCTGCCCACAGCCATGGCTGAACTCAGAGGTAGGTCAAGGGTATGTGTTAAGGGCATCAAAAGAATTTGCTACAGTTAGTGTGTTATAAACAGTGAGTTCCAGGAAATAAGTTAAAAAAATTATAAAGTCACAAAAAGACAAAAGGTCAAAGAAACAGGTATTATTTCAAAGAACTAATACAAACTAACAATAGGCACATGAAAAAAATAGTAGAGCATATAAGTAATGGAAGAAATGTAAATGAAAACAATGAATAACCTCTTGGCTATTAAATTGATACTTCTCTATTTGTGAAGAGCCTATAAATTATATCAGCTTCTCTGGGAGTTATTTTTGTCTTATGTATTAAAAGAATTGAAAACATCAATTCTCTCTGAATCAGCATTACCCATTCTAACAATTTAACCTCAGGAAATTAACAACATATTTAATAACTGAAATACCCTAAAATAGGGGGTTGCTTAAATAAATCCTAGTGTAAAAATATAATGGGGTATTAGCCATTATCATGTAGTAACTATTTTTAGACATCAAAATATATTCACAATTTATAAAATGAAATATCTAAGTTATAAATAGTAAGCACTTATGGAGTGATTAAGTTTTCTCTAAAAATATTTTATATCTGAAACTATACATTTCAAAATTTTCAGAAGTAATTATCTTTGGGATTTATTTGATTTGTCCATATTTTCTATACACAGTTATTTCTTTTGTAATACAATTCAACTTAGGATTTCTAAAAGAAATGGTTCTTACGGTTATTAGGTAATAAAACCTATAGATAGTAGATACTTGATGGTTTCAGAAGATAGGTTCCAAGGCAATGAAGGATTTGCCATTTTAAAAATAATCTAGCCATTCAGTTTTCCTCTTGTAATACCATAAGTTATCTCACAAAAATTCAAGTGGCTGCTTTACATCCTTGATGACTCTATAGGCTTTAAAATTAGCAAAACGCATTTTGAGCAAAAAAACATTTTATTGCATCAGTGCTCTAGGATTGGAAATAAATGTTTACGATCAAGAAACTCAAGCAGTGACTGCTTGGAGCATACAGTTGGATGAAATTAGATGTCTGGAGTTCATCCAGCTTCTTCGGATCATACTGCATGTGAAGAGATGAGGAAAGAGCAGCCCAATTGCCTTGAAATGTGGACGGTTGGTGGTTGGCTATGCTTTGTCACTCAAGTCAGCACATAAAGGACTGTCCTTTCTATAAATTGATTCAAATCCATGCAGAGAGCCAAGTTCTATTAGAACATTTGTAAGTTCAGTCATTCTCAACTAATAATCCTACTGTTGGTATTAGATCCTAAAATAAAACACCCACCATGTGTGTATTCATCTTTTTCTCCCTGATGTTTTGACATGTGGAGTCCAGTCTATAGAGAGAGTATACCCTCCAGGCCTAATTCCTACTGTAAACACTTGCTCTAGGAATATACTTTCCATATGCAAACTAAGCAACCTTAGCCCATCTGCATCCTCCTCTTTGGTGCTTTTACACTGAAGAACCAACATTCCCCCTCCCTAAACACTCCAGGACCAGGTATCAGGCAACTGGGAACATGCTCTAGGCTCTAAGGTTGGCCGAAATTATTCATTTAGTTAATCCTAAATCAGTTTACCTTCTCTCACCCATTCCTTTCCTCACAGACCACAATGAAGACTCTAGCCATGTCTTCCCCTGACTCTCTCTGCCTCCTGACCCACCCTAGTGCTTATAGCCTGGATGGCCCCATGTGATATGATGTGGCCCCCTCCTCTTGCAAACTATAAGTAACAAACTGCCTTTTCAATGGTAATCCTCTCTTCCATCATCTGTGGGCCCTACCATACTACAATACTAATACAGTTTCAAACAATAGATACTTACAGACAGCACCTTTGAGGAGTCTGGAGTAGGTAAATTCAAGTAGGCAGTAATGGCACCTCATGTTAACTATCTAATTCCTGTTTGATGTGCTCCATATTTCATATGTACTTTCTAACAGCTTTTTTCTTCAATGTTAAGAAAGGTTTACTTGAGGGGCGCCTGGGTGGCTTGGTCGGTTAAGCGTCCGACTTTCGCTTGGGTCATGATCTCGCGGTTCGTGGGTTCGAGCCCCGCGTCGGGCTCTGTGCTGACTGCCAGCTCGGAGCCTGGAGCCTGTCTCAGTCTATGACTCCCTCTCTCTCTCTGACCCTCCCCTGCTCACGCTGTCTCTCTCTCTCTCTCCTGGAAATAAATAAAAAAAAACATTAAAAAAAAATTAAAAAAAAAAAAGAAAGGTTTACTTGAAAGATCAATGGTAATATCCAAGAAGAAAGAAAGGTCTCTGAAAACCAAGGAGTTAAGGGTTTTAATGTGTCTGCTACACTGTCAAGGCTGATTGGTTCTGTCTCACCTTTGGTGCATTTGCCTGTTCAGAAATGACTTTTGTGGCCAGAGCTGTAAGTTGCTACACAGCACAGGAAGCAAGCAGGGCTCATCTGGGTGCCACAGTCCCACGATCTCTTCTGCCACCAGTTGCCGCTGTGCCCCATTTCCCCTCAAGATTCTGCTCCTGCTCTGAGTGCATCAGCCCCTCACCATTTCCCACAATGATGCCCAAAAATGCCTGTTCAAATTAAAGATACCTCCAAAACATATTCTACTCTCTGAAGAAAACTTCACTTTCTTGACCATCAATTTACCTGATCCCAGCCTCAAATGAGAGAGGGAAGGGCTGCTAATTAAACTGTTCTGGTTTGATGAAAAGTCTGGTTTCACCGACTTGATTGCAATGTACCTGGATTAAAGCTGCTTATACAGGGAGTAGCAGCCTCTCAATAATTGATTGTCATTAAATATTCCTCAGACTTAGGATCCTTGGCAGCAATCCTGCTAATTTCTATATCCTTGAGAAACTTTTACATGGGATGAGGGCCTTGAACTAGAGCCTCTCCACATTGTTTCCTTCATCCTTCAGTGGCAACCAAGGGTCAGCTGGGCTCTGTTTTTATGCCTAGGGACTATACTGTAATTCTCACATGCTTTGAACAAAAACTTCAGTAACTCCTTTTCAGGCCATTTGTAAATTGTGTTTATATGTAATTCATCCATGTGTTCATATGAATCTATGAGTCTGTCAGAATTAATGTGCCCTTCCTTCTCTCTGGCTTAGAGAAAAAGTGGTTTGGAGTATAGGGTCAGGAATGAGACTAGCTGTCCCCAGATCTTGACTCTGCCACTTACAATCTGTGTGACTTTGAGCAACCTGCTCAACCTTCCTGTGCCTCAGTTTCCTCATCTGTCAAGTGGGTTTAGTAACTTGTAAGCTTAACCTGTACTTTTCATTTAGGGAGAGTTTAAAGAAGATAATGCACTTAAACCATTTGAAACAATGTCCAGCATTCAATACATGTGAACTACTAATTACTATCCCCTAAGCCCAACCCATTTGTAAAAGGCCTAGCTTATTCTGTCTCTACTGTATCAACAATACTCCAGCTTTGTGTACATAGCAAGGCTTGAAGAGTCTCTTTAAAGGGCACATTCGAGGCCACAGCCCAGAGACACCGATGGAGTAGGCCTGATGTGTCCTAGGAACCTTCCATCTTAGCACTCCAGGTGTTCTCATAAAGGTGGCCCACACTGCCTACAACAGCATGGTTCTACCTATGCCATCTCTAAGTATCACTTGTGCACAGACCACCATTGCTATTCTGAATTCAGAGCAGCTGGCACTCAGTGCTGGCTGCCTTATGTTTCACATTTAAGTTTTATCATCAAGATTATAAATTACTGAAAGATAGGGACTTTATTTTCTCCAGTTTACTATCCTCCATAGCAGAGAAGAGTGCCTTTATTACACCAATGAAGGATATAAATTAGTTTTGTGATAGATTCATCATTGACTCTTAAAGCCTCAAATGTACAAACCCAAATCTAACTGAATTTAGTTTCAGACAAGCAGCAGCAGACTCTGCTCCTCAATATGGTATCAGGACATCACTTCAGTTGCTGTAAAGATACAGGTATTTAATATGCTACAATTAACATTTTGATTTTCATGAGAAGGTTGTGAGTTAAATCATGAGTCCTGTTATGCTGCAGGTATCTTTCAGCGTAGTTTTATGAAGGTCCAAAACAATTATGCAGCATTCTCCAAATAATTTAGGTAAGTTTGGATACTGTGACCCAGAAGTAACACTTGAAAAAGACCAAAGATAACCATAGTTTTCCATAATCTAAGTGCCATATTCCACACGAGCATGTCGAGTTAATGTGAAATTACAGATTCTTACGTGATAGTAAAAAAAAAAAAAAAAAAAAGTCTTCACATTTGTCTAAACCCATCTGAAAATACCAGTCACATGAATACCTTGGGTACAGCCCAGTGGTGCTTGCTTTGGAATCACACTAAATTTGGAAGGATACAGGGATGATTAGCATGGCCCCTGCACAAAAGTGACAGCATAACTCAGTGGCTACTCAGCAGAATCACCTAAAAAGTTTTAAAGAACACTGATGCCCAGACCATATCCCAGACCAATGAAATAAAAATATCCAGAGATGTGACTGAAATATGAGTAGCTAGTAAAGCTTCTCAGGTGACTACAGTGTGCAACTAGGTTGAGGACCTCCAGGCCCACTTCTTGACAATCTATCAAGCTTGAGAAGCATACATACCTAAATCCCAGTCCTAAAGTCATGTAAAAAGTAGAGATATTTTAAAAGCCCCCATGGTGATTCTGATTTACAGTGAGAGGTAAAAACCATTGAAGTCCCCCATTTTATAGATGAGAATTAGAAACAAAGAGATTGTTCCTGATCTCTCCTTAGTGGAAAAGTAGGTCTTGGGATACTATTCTCCAATGCTTATTAACAAACAAGTTGATGTAAATGACCTGCGCTATCCTCTCTTAACAGCAGCCTAGTTTTGAAAAACCAGGGGAAACGAGTACACTGGAGTATTCAAATGGGTGAGGATGGATTTTCAAGGAATTTAATAGATGAATAAACCTGACAACATTAGAAAAAATTACACACTTTTAGTAAAGTTTCAGTGAATAAATATACTTAAAACACTTAGAATGGTACCTGACACATAAAAAGGACTGTTTAAGTATCTGTTATATAGAATAAAATGGGAAGGATGCCCTCATCTGTAATATTCACTCATCTAGGGAAAGTGCCTGATGAGGCTGTCATGCTACATAGGTAACTGGAACCATAATCAGGAACGTGAGTCCAACAGACCAGTTCACAGCAGCCAGATTCAGTACACACTCTCTTCGTACAAATAAAGGCTTATTGGAACACAGCTTTACCTATTCACTTACGTGGCTTATGGCTGCTTTTTTTTTGTTTCTTTTAATTCCAGTGTAGTTAATATAAAGTATTAGTTTCAAGTGTACAAATATAGTGATTTGACAATTCTATGTGTTCCTCAGGGCTTATCGTTACAAGTGTGCTCAATCCCCTTCCATCTATTTCACCCATCCACCCACCCACCTCCCCTCTGGTAACCTTTGTTCTCTATAGTTCAATGTATGTTTCGAGGAGCTTGGGTGGCTCATTCAGTTGAGTGTCCAAGTTCGGCTCAGGTCATGATCTCATGGTTCATGGGTTCGAGCCCTGCGTTGGGCTCTGTGCTGACACCTAGCTCAGAGCCTGGAACCTGCTTTGGATTCTGTGTTTCCCTCTCTCTCTGACCCTCCTCTGCTCATGCTGCCTCTCTCTCTCTCTCTCTCTCTCTCAGAAATAAATAAAACATTAAAAAAAATTCAAAGTGTGTTTTCGGTTTGCCTTTTTCCTTGTTCTTTTCTTTCTTAAATTCCACATATAAATGAAATCATAGAGGCTTTATGACCTACAATGTCTAAAATGTTTACTCATGGGCCTTTCACAAAGCTTATGGACCCCAATCTAAATGATTCTGCTATACTATAAAGATAACAAGAACAAAAGTATTTGTACTGAGCCTCATTTTTCATGCCTTTCCTATAATTATCTACTTCATTCTGAGTTTTGTCCTTTTAGGTCAGATACCCTAACATAGGAACTAAAAATAAGCTAACACAAGAGCATGTTATAATGGCGGAAACCACAGACCCTGAATTTTTTTATGAGACTAATGAAGAGACTGACATATTCAGTGGTTAGAATTCTATGAAGTTGCTAAAAATGATCTTTCTTTAAGGTTAAAATACCACAAGAAAATCCTTATGTTTTAATGTTAAACGAAAAAGTCCAATTCAACATTGTATAAAGGATGATCACAACTCTATGAAGCATATTACACATTTTCACAGGAACTCTCTAAAGAAAAACACATCAGAATGTGTTGTCTTTGAGTGACAGAAACATGACTTTTTTGGTCTACTTTTTATGTAGTAAACTCTATAATAAGCAGGCATTATTTTTATAATAAAAATAAACTTGAGTTTTAAAAATTGGAATATGAATTCTGTTTGTTTTTAAGTCTGAGATCAACAATTTGTAGTACTTATGTGTTAGACATGGCACGTGATATTTAAGTGTCTCACAAACAAAATGGTGCTACTACTAATGTGTCATATATGTACAACTCTGATGTCTACAAAGTTTTTCCAAAAACATTATCTTACTTGGTTCTAACTACTTAAAAAAATAAAACTAAATGGCTGCAATTGACAAAAATAGGATGCCAATTCAGATCTTATAGTTAGTGTAGAACACTCTCAAAAATTTATCTCACTTATCCATTTTCATGCTAACTTGTTTTGCTTTCAATGTTGTCCAAGATCTAATGTTAGTGAGGATTTTTCTTCTTTCATTTGAAGTCCTGAGGATTCACATTAAGATTTAGAGGTTACTTGGAATCTCTTTATCCTGTTTGTTCACATTTCTGTAATAATGCAAGTTGCATCAAACCCCCAAAATATGTGTGAAATGGCCTCCCAGCCACAGTGCAGTCCTTTAAACCTTTAAAGACCCAAAGGCCCAGTATCAATAAAAATCACACTTAAGGCAAGCTGGGCATAGAGAACTCTCTCTCTAGTCCCTAACCTTCTTGAAGGGCTTCCTACCATCCAGTGGTGCTTAATGGGCCAATTATATTTCAAAGAAACTTATGAGGATAAGCAAACAGATTTCCTGAGCACTTGGTAGGCAATTTTGTATCTTATAAACTAGAACCAGCCATCGGAGGGGGGGGGGGCGAGAAGGGGGGGAGAGGTTGTGAGGTACCGGGGTGGCTCAGTCAGTTAAGTGTCCAACTTAAGTTCAGATCATGATCTTGGCTCAGATTATCATCTCCCACCTCATCGGTTCAAGCCCTGCATTGGGCTCTGTGCTGACAGGTTAGAGCCTGAAGCCTCTGGATTCTGTGTATCCCTCTCTCTCTGCTCCTCCCCCACATATTCTCTGTCTCTTAGCCTCTCAAAAATAAATAATAAACATTAAAAAAACTTTTAATACAAAAATATTTTAAAGGTTTTTAAGATATAAATTTTGGGGTACCTGGGTGGCTTAGTCAGTTGAGCATCTGACTCTTCCTTGATTTCAGCTCAGGTGATGATCTCACAGTTTGTGAGATCAAGCTCCAAGTCAGGCTAGGTGATGAAAACATGGAATCTGCTTAGGATTCTCTCTCCCATCTCTCTCTGTTCCTCCCCCACTCGTGTGTGCAAGCTCATGCTCTCTCTCAAAATAAATGAACAACAACAAAAACAAAGACCTAAATTTTGTCATTCAGGTCCTCTGAATTTTCCTTCCAGGTTCCCCTCTCATCTGTCTGCAATATCCCCAGCACCAATTCACTGCCATCCTTGCTGCCACAGTTAATTGTCCATTCTCAAAGGCCTTGTCCTCAGCTACTGCCAATTAGTAGAGACTAAGGTATTAGTAGAAAAGGGTTTCCTATTACTGAAGAACATAAAAAGAAATTTCTAAAAATTAATAATCTGTGATTCTAACCTAAAAATTCATCCTTTTCTCTGTTCAGCTTTACCTCATCTCTTTCCCTTGCTGTCTCCCTTACTCTGTTTTCATAACCAGAACTAAATTAAACCTTCTCAGGCATTTTGTTCCTCAGTTAAATCCACTCCTGTGATTCTTCCCTTTCTTTTTAAAGGCATCTTTCTCCTCCTTCAGCTAAAACAAAAAACAAAAACAACCAACCAAACCAAAAAAAAAACAAAAAACAAAAAACCAAACTCATGGCATCAGGATAGTCAAGGCTTCCACAAGCTGGACTCAAATCTGTTTAGCAAAACTCCCCTGCTCTCCAACCCCCACCCCCAACTTTATTTCCATCTCTACAAAGAGCCATTTGCCATTCATTGAATATACCTAATGCTGCCATTTGATTATGTCTTCCAAGGGAATTTTCGTTCCTCAAACCTCCCCACCCTTCTCTAAGAAGTTTTCCAGTCTCTCCCAGGAAGTATGAGTTGATTCTTCCTCTACATTATCATTTAACTCTTCACCTGAGTCTGTTATGTAACTCAATTCATTCTACTGTAGTTGGAACCTTATGTTTCTATGGGACCCATTTGATGTGAGCTACTTAATGTCAAGGTCTCTATCTTATTCATGTTGTGTTCCATTTCCATCCTCATGATCTTTTTGCTCCTAGTAAAGAGTTGGGCACAGACAACAGCCAAAGTAATTATTAAATTACCATGGAAAGAACAAAAATTCATGAATGATTAATGACAGCATTTGATTTATCCTAAGGGGCGATGTAGCAGGGAATTCTTGGTTAGGCCACTGGACCTTTTGGGAAATTGTATCAACCAGTTGCCTTACTATATAATCATAATGGTTACAAGGAAGTCAGTAGCACAATATTCTCTCTCCTTTTTAAATTAAAATCAAACACGCTTGCATTTTGAATAAGCAACTATAAAATTTAAGTTAACTGCTGTAATTAAACAAGCATTACAACCAAATTAATTTAGACTCTGCAGAATACTTATTGGGATGTAGTTAATCAGGCATTAATACTGTTAGCACATCCTATAAAGGAAAATAGGCTCACAAGTCCAAAAAATTATCATTTATTGTATTTCAGGTCTATCCCCACCCAATCTATGACAGAGAGTTATAAATGTAGTAAGATTTATATGAAATTAAACAAGTAAAAAACCATTTTCGAAGGAAGGAAGAGTTACATTATGGTTAAGGTTATGATTCGACTAAGATAGAAAACTATGTGACCATTTCTGACATTCCACAGCAACTGCAATTAAATCCTATTCAGCTATGCTTAGAAATTATGATGAGCATAAATAAATTATATGTATGTTTAACATATATATTATTCCTAGCCTTGTAAAATTCGGCAAATCCCTACATATAGTGGAAGGGCAAGATGTGTTCTCTGACAATTCCAAAAACTAATTAGTAATGAAAACAAGTTTTCAGACTTAAAAGTCTAATACCCAGGTCTATTTTAAAATTTTTAATATTCCTTTGTATTCCAACAGATATTTTTTTCCAATTTAGTCTAAGAAA